ATGATGTTAACATTCTCCTACAGTGTCATGTTTAGTGGGTGCACAATGTGGACTTGAGTTACTTAACCCACTGTTGAACATTTAGGTTATTTCGAATGCGGCATGCCATAAATAAGAATGTTATCACACCCCTGCATGTGAACCTTTGAGCACATTTCTGATCATTTCCTTAGGATCTCAGATGTGAAATTACCGAGTCGAGCATAAGCATATATGGGTAGTTTTTCTCCACCAGGGTTGAACCAAGTGTAGACCCATTTGTAACTCATGAATACTCAGTTCTCCTCCACAATGCCAGGTAATTTTATCTGAAACTAAATCTGGCTTATGCATTCAGCAAGCACCTTTATGTTAGGCACTAGAGTAGACACTGAGCCATGAATAAGGCCCCTGCCCTGCAGCAGCAGCAAGCTGGCAGGGAAACATCCACCAAGCAGCCATCTCAGGAGCATAACTGCAGGACAAAGACAGCAAGGGCCAGGCCCAGGCAACACTCAGCAGGGAGAACCAACCAAGTGTGGGATCCGAGACGGCCCCTGGAAAAGGGCACACTAAGCGGGGCCTGAGCACAGGCCGATGTGGCCGGAGGGAAGCATCAGCCAAGGGCAAGAAAGAGAAAATGTTTCAAAGGTACATAAGGTATCCTTTTAAAAATTACTAGGTGAATGTTTGTAAGGTGCTTAAAACATCTGTTCCATTAAGTATTAACAGTTTAACTAACCTGCAATCTTATTTGTTATAAATTTGTTCGTCAAACAAGGAAATGGAAAAAGGAACCAACAGTATGGCTAGAACCTCTGTTTTAAGGAAAAATGGGATGAGGCTGGAGTAGATGGGGCCAGATTAGTGAAGGCCGTCAGAAACCAAGCTAAAACGCCTACCCTCTACCCACAAGGAAACGAATCGTCATTCAAGGCTCCTCAGCAACTGCCTTTCAGAAAACACTGCTCTGCCTACATGCGAACCAGAGGCAGGCAGGACTGGAGGCAGCTGATGGGCTATCATGGACACTGGTTGTCACGGCTGCCCAGGATCCAAAACCTCCCTACTCTGGAGGAATCAAGACCGGGGGCACGCAGAGCCCCACTTCTCTATGCTGAAAGCAAAGGGCAGAGACCCTCTTCTAACCCCCACAGATATACCAAGGGCGTGAGATCTAAACTCAGCCACATTGCCACGTTCACAAAGTACTCACCTACTACTTCCTACTCTCCAGGTCCCGAGCTGGCAGCTCTTGACACAGCAATGAACAAGACAGAGCCCCTAAGATGAAGCCTCTTGACAGAAGGAGGCAAAGGCTCAGAGTCCGTTAGAGAAGAAGCAAGCCTAGGGGAGAGTGATACGTGTGTCAAAATGTGCCCAACTGTATACACATGCACCATGTAGGCCCAAAGCCCCACAGCATCTGCTCCAGCCCCGCTGGCCAGACCGGAGCACATTATCTGTTCTGTTTGGCTGCTTCTGTCAAAGACGCGCTTGGGTAGCAAAGAAGGCAGGAGGGCCTGTTGGGAAGGCAGCCAACAGTGCATGTCAGGGATGTCGCCGGCCCAGGTCACAGTTAGCAATCAAAGGGAAGCAAGATTTGGTCCTGCCACTCCACACCCTGGCTTCCTTTTTCTAGGCACAACCTCACCTAGCACTGCTGCACGCTGGAGTGACCGGTTACTGCCCACCTGTGGGTGCCAGGAGGGCCAAGGGCCTCACTCCAGAGCTGGCCTGTCGGTGTCCTTGCCCCAGAAGTCGCTCCTCCCCACAAGTTCTTCCCAGTCACTAGCCCACTCCAGGGGCCCCACCAGGAGGGCCGGGACTGAAAGGCCTCTTCTCTGGCTTTTCCCAGTAGCCCAGAACTCTGTGCTGTGGCCTTCCTACCCGACGGAGCTCCACAAAAGCCCTCAGAGGCTGATGAAGCACACTGTGAAAACCACTGTCACTGAACGTAGAAAGGAAAATGTGTCACACCTACACAAATTTATAATGCCTCAGTTATCCACAATTCAGGATAAGAAGACCTGATACAAATCAAGAAGTTCATGAATTAAAGCTAAAACAACTTACTCCCAACAAACTTCCTTAGGCTCTTATCATCATCTATGGACTAGTTTTCTAATCAGTTCTAACATTTAGTTCCTGAGCCCCCCAGGGAGGTACAGGGACGTAGGTAGGAACACTGACAGCAGGGGGAAGTGCTGACGGCAGGCTGTGGAAAAGATAAGGGCAGAAAACTTTAAAACACGGGAAGACATATAGTTTTTATGCCTTTCCACCTTATAAGGAAAAAAGAAAAAGGGGAAACAGCTGTATATGCCTCAACAAGCCAAAGAGTATCACTGTTTATATCATAACAAATTATGTTTAAAATGATGACTTGAGATCATTACGAAAAGTTTACATCGCATTCAGCACATCCCATTTAAGAATGTGAAGATATATTTCAGAAAGATTCTCATCCTAAATGAGATACTTTGGTGCTTAATGGGCAAAAATCTAAACTATCCGGAAATTGCTATTCAGAAAGTTACTATCCTCGTCATAGGCAGCTATGGCTTTACTGTAAATGACTTTATAATAATTTGCATGAATCCACAGAGAATTAACTTTGGGGGCTAAAGTCCTAACAGGAACAGGATTAATACTGCCCACTTTCATAGAACCTAGCACAGAGATATACATGGATGTGTGCAGACAGGTATGAACAGACACACTGAAGGATACAATTTGGTCCATCTTACATTAAATGTTCTGTAAGAGCAGACTGAAATAGATTCCTCTTTATTAATATTTGTTTACAAGGAAAATGCTAGGCCAGGTGTGGTGGCTCATGCCTGTAATCCCAGCACTTTGGAAGGCTGAAGCAGGAGGATCACTTGAAGCCAGGAGTTCAAAGCTGCAGTGGGCTATGATCATGTCACACTGCACTCCAGCCTGGGTGACACAGCAAGACCCCATCTCATAAAAAAAACAAAGGTGGTGGAGGGGGTGGGGGGAAGAAAACCACTACTCAGGAGCTGGATTTTTTGGCTAGCAAAGGCCCTGATTTACTGTAGGTGTAGAACTCAAATCATTTGACCTCTTTGTACATCACTGACTTCCTTATTTGTAAAAATCAGACGACGATTTTCCTCTCAAGTTAGGAGGATTTTAAAGTGCTACCAAAAAATCCTTTAGAAATACCTTGTTATATTTACATAAATATTTTAACTTTAATATGCTCTAAAACTCTGAAGATTTTCCCAATAGAACACCTTACGGAGAAACAGATGTCTCAAAACAAATTAAAATAAAGTTAATTATACTTATTACAAAGCTCTATAGAAATAACTGATAGCATTAGGGTTGCCTCATTTTCAAAGTAATAAAACAAAGGTTGCAATAAACTCCTCTGAATGAATTTCTACAGTATATAACCCTAGTTTCCATGGAGCTAAGAGTTGCTTTTGTGATTTCAATTAAGCCAACTATCTTTCTCACCACCACCCTTTCCTTGAAGGAGGTGGCAGCTCAGCAGCGAAACACCTCTAACAATACATGAATTTAAACTTGTAACAAAGCAGTTGCAAAGATTCTGCCAATGTACTAAGTGACCAAGCTCTGATACCACCACAAAATGAAGTCAGGTTTATGTCAGGAATTTTTCTTTTCTTTTTTTTTTTTTTTTAGCAACAGGCTCTCACTCTGTTGCCCAGGCTAGAGGGCAGTGGCATGATCATAGCTCACTGCAGCCTCGAACTTCTGGGCTCATGGGATCCTCCTGCCTCAGCCTCCCAAAGTGCTGGGATTACAGGTGTGAGCCACTGAGCCTATGTCAGGAATTTGATCAGTTCCACTCATTCCTGTTTTCTCCCCGGGGCCTAAATAACAAGCACACGGTAGAAGGGGAAGGAGTAGGAGGTGGAGAAGGGAAGGTCTGAAAAACAAAAATAAAAATCTCAAGGCAGCAGGATGACAAGTGGCCAGCTTTGGAGGGATCCAAATTGTAAAGGGCCCAAAACAAACAATTTAGGGACCCTCTTTTCAAACTAGAGAACACATTATAAATGTAAGACCTCTGAGCTCCCAGTGTCAGGGAAGGGGCCCATGTAAGTGAGGGACCCATAAGCCTGAACTTCATTTTCATGGATAGGGTAGAATTTCAGGATGCTAAAAACGGCAAGTGATGTCAGAAGTCACCTGCTGTAGTCTTCTCAGTGGGCCACGGGTGATCAGAGATTTCCATATGTCTGGAAGATTAAGTGATCAGAAACTAAACAAAAAACCAGGAGGTAAGGTGGTCAAGAAATGCTATACATACATATATCTATAGATGTATATATGTACGGGGGGAAACAGAGAGGAGTGGTGAGGACCCTGGCACAGTACGGTGCAGGTGCTTTTCAAGAACACAACTGGTGGCCGGGCGCGGTGGCTCACGCCTGTAATCCTAGCACTCTGGGAGGCCGAGGCGGGCAGATTGTTTGAGCTCAGGAGTTCGAGACCAGCCTGAGCAAGAGCAGGACCCCATCTCTACTAAAAGTAGAAAGAAATTAATCAGACAACTAAAAATACATAGAAAAAATTAGCCGGGCATGGTGGCACATGCCTGTAGTCCCAGCTACTCGGGAGGCTGAAGCAGGAGGATCCCTTAAGCCCAGGAGTTGGAGGCTGCTGTGAGCTAAGATGACGCCACGGCACTCTAGCCCGGGCAACACAGTGAGACTCTGTCTCAAGAAAGAAAAAAAAAAAAAGAACACAACTGGTAAGAAAAGCACAGTTACAGTTCCAAGACAAAAAGAATAGCAAGATCAGGGGAAAACCCACTAATGGTGGAGCTTGGAGATGGCAGAAGTAGGATGAGGAAATCAAAACATAGAGACTACAGTGTGGAGGCTGCATGGTGGCAGAGAGAACAGCTCCTAACAGCAACGTCCAAAGACGGGCAGGCCTAAGAGGATATGGAGAGACAGAGGTCAAAGACAAACGGCCGCTAGACACAGAGGGGCTTGGGAAGATACCTACCACACTGGGGAGTGGGCAGCAGGGACCCTGGTGCTCCAGACTGCGCCCCCAATCTGTGCTTCTCACTCTCCGAATCACCCGCTCAGGGGCTCGGGCCATTATCAAGCCCACCCTCCCACCTCTCTGCCTCCCGTTTTCTCCATCTCATGTCCGGGTTTTCGGTTCCCCGAATGACTGCAAAAGCCCTGACGAGCCGCAGAGTCATCCCACACCACCACCCCTATACCTGCCGGACGGATTTTTCTTTTTTAATACCAAGGGGAGCATATTACTTCCTTGCCCCACGTAAGCAACGCATCTTGTCCCAGGAATGCTGAGCTGCCGTAGCTCCCCAAATATGCCAGACTGTCCGAAACCTTCACGTCTTAAACATTTCTGCTCCCTCTGCCAGAAACAGGAATAGCCTCTCAATTCTCTTGCGCCACCCAACTCCCACTACTCAAAACTCAGCTCAAACTCCTCCTTTTTGGAAACCTCCCGGCCCTCTTGGGGCCAATCAGCTTCTAAGACACCCCTCGCCCCCGGCGCTGTCGGGCCTGCTCGGCGTTTCCCCTCGGTCTGTAAATCCCTCGCAGGCAGGGCCCTGCCTCTCCGTCTCTCCTCCCGGAGGAGGAAAGCACCTGCGAGGCGCGGGGCCCAGGTTCCAGGACCGCCAGAAATGCCTGAAAGGCAAGCGACGAGAGGACGCCTCTTCAGGGACGGCCAGAGAAGTCGCGCGGCCGTGGGGGCCGGCAGACCTGACGCGAAAACGACACGCAGGAGCCAGATCCGTCCTAGGGGGAGGGGCGGGTTCGGGGTTGACCCCACAGGAGCCTCGCGGCGACCCCGGCCCACGTCAGGCGCAGCTGCCGCCCGGCCCGGGATTCCGCCGCGGGGAAAACGGGGACGGGGCGCAGCCGGGAAGGCACTCGAGCCCCGTGGCCCACGGACTGTCGCGCACGAGGGTCGGATGCGGGAAACGGACGGCCACCCAGGACCGGTCGGCCCTACCTGGAGAAGCCACTAGAAACGGACTCCCTCGGCCCTCAGTGCCGCGGCACAGCCACAGCGTAGCACCGCCGCGCTCACTTCCGCTTCCGCTAAAGGCGCTTCCGCTCGAGGGCCCGGCCCGTTCTCGGGTACTGCGCCTGCGCGGCTGGACGCCGGGGGGCGCTGGAGGGAGCGACGCGCGCAGGCGCAGGGGGAGAGGCCAGGGGCGCGCAGGCGCAGGCGGCGGTGGGCGGGGCGCGCAGGCGCCGGCAGAG